ATCTCGTTGTCTATCCTTAATTCAAAAGGTTATGAGTTCTTTAATGGAGGTGGAGTTTTGAATGTATGTAAGGGTGCCCAAATTGTATTGGAGGGACGAAAGAAGTCTCAGTTATACATCTTGCAGGGTCGTGTAGAATTTAGAAGAGTCAGTCAGTACAAGTTCAAGACTGTGGTGGACATTCAGTTTGATACAATATCTTTAGGAGCTCATAAAGGGTCGGATTTTAATAATACAGTTCAGTGGAGTTCAGGAGATATGGATAATGCCGCTTTGCCACCATCACCTGCGATGCCATTACATTCAATTGCTAGGGACGGACCCAATGGAAAAGGGTATGTGGATATTGATTTTGTTGAGCGTGTTTTAAGTGGAGTAGAAAATGTACAATCTAGTAAGAGACATTCTTTAAAAGAATTTGAGTTTGATTCTGCATTGGGGTATGTTACAGCCCATTTTGAATAATTTAAAACATCATGATTTTTTTGGGAATTTGAGGTAATTCTGCATAGTATTGCTTGAATTCATGGAAGACGTAGAGTATTGTGTTTTGTTGGAGAAATTAATTTTTTTAGTTATTGTTGAATAGGTCAGTTCATTCCTTGGTGAAATTCGTGTCAACGTGGAGATTGTTAGAATTTGAGTGTGACTCGAATTTATTGTTGAAGTAATTGAAAAATTCTAATTGAAGTGCACATCAAGAAGAATTCAATTTGTAATGCTATTGGGGTTCTATATCAAGTTGAAATTTTATTTTGGAAGCCCATTGGGACTTTTAATTTGTTTTGGACTAGATTTTTTGGTATCCTACTTCATCAACAATTTTACTAGGAGGGTTTGGACATCCCTTACAAATTCCATATAAATATTAGACTCTTTTATACAATTTTATGGTATGAAAAAATAGATTACTAGAATTATATGATCTATTGTAATTTTTATCTCTTCTCCATTATTCATGAGTTGATAAAATCTCTTAATTCATCTACCATATTCTTATCTTTGTTATTTTTTTGTTTGATCAAATATTTCATTATTATTTGTCATATAACTTCAACATCTCAATCCGGTAATTTGTTTCACAACAATTGGTATCAGAACAATTCTAGCGTCTTGGTTGTTTCAAAACATGGAAGCAATGCTTCGGGAATATCCAAAGCATTGCTAAAGCAATTCAATTTATCCGTCAAATCTTACCTTTTAAACTGTAATGGACGATCTTATCTTTAGCCTGGCTTAAAAAACAAAAATTAGTCCAGTCCAACCCTGCCTGTAGCTCCTATAGATTCTAATGCATTGAACGGAAAAAGCCTTTTGTCCTTGAACCTTGATTATGGTACTAGGGTTCAGCTTATCTTGCCGGATACTAGGACCATCTCAACTGAAAATCATCCAATTCATCTTCATGGTTACATTGTCGGCGACGGCACTGGGAACTAAAATTCCCACTCATCGAGTTGGATCTATTGTTCCAAACTTACAGTTCGTTATCCTTATTTTATACATATTGGCACATAACCTCTTGTATTTTCATTTGATAGAAGAAGATTATGTGACGATTTGTCAAAAATGTATTTACGGGGAATGGTGGTTCATCAAGACAACGTTAACTTGAATACTAAAATGTTCGATTATTCAAATTTTGACAGATCATGAGATGACTTGTAATGTAAACAATTCAACAATAACCACTTAAATTAACAAGAAATTGACAGTTAAAAATAAGTTAATAATTCTACTTCTA